CACGTGCAACTTATCCCATTGTGAAGGCACCCGTCAAATAAGTTGGGCACTTGCAGCGATTTTGCCGAGTCATGCAGGAAGTGCCCACGTGCAACTTCTTTGAAGGGGCCTCCACATGCTTTCCGTGGACAGTGACTTTATATGCAAATCAAGCCATTTTACGAGCTCCGATGCATACGAAACTGCCGGACGGTGTTTCCTGAGCACTGTACTGTAGGTATTTGCCAATAAAATCATCGTATTTATGACATATGACCTGTTAATGCATTGTCCACGGAAAGCCTGTGGAGGCCCTGTCAAATAAGCTACGGGTGGGCAAGTGACAAGTGACAGCTGTAACTTATTTGAGGGGGCCTCCACAGGTTTTCCGTTGACAGTGCATTTTTATGCAAATTAAGCCATTTCACTGCTGGATGGCATTTCCTGAGCACTGTATAGATGGTATTACTTAATAAAATCATTGTATTTATGACATATGACCTATTAACTCATTGTGCACGTAAAGCCTGTGGAGGCCCCTTCAAATAAGTTACGGGTGGGCATACAGTGGTGATACTCACCAAAGTCCAACTGCAATTCTCAACATCAGCAAGTAACACCTGTAACTTACTTGACGGGACCTACATAGGCTTTCCGTGGACAGACATTTTTTGAGGTAAATATGAATATTGATGAGTTGTAATGTATATGAACTTGTCAGACGGTGTTTCCCGAGTGTAGCACTATACGTTTTGCATAATAAAATAATTATAAACTTAAATTATGACTTGTTAATGCATTGTCCACGGAAAGCCTTTGGAGGCCCCGTCAAATAAGCTACGGGTGGGCATGCAGTGGTGATACTCACTAAAGTCCAACTCCAATTCCCAACATCAGCAAGTGACACCTGTAACTTACTTGATGGGACCTACATAGGCTTTCCGTGGACAGACCTTTTTTGAGGTAATTTTGAATATTGATGAGTTGTAATGTATATGAACTTCACAGACGGTGTTTCCCGAGTGTAGCACTGTACGTTTTGCATAATAAAATGATTATAAACTTAAATTATGACTTGTTAATGCATTGTCCACGGAAAGCCTGTGGAGGCCCTGTCAAATAAGCTACGGGTGGGCAGGTGACAAGTGACAGCTGTAACTTATTTGAGGGGGCCTCCACAGGTTTTCCGTTGACAGTGCATTTTTATGCAAATTAAGCCATTTCACTGCTGGACGACGTTTCCTGAGCAGTGTATATGTGGTATTACTCAATAAAATTATAGTATTTATGACATATGACCTATTAATGAATTGTCCACAGAAAGCCTGTGGAGGCCCCGTCAAATAAGTTACGGGTGGGCATACAGTGGTGATACTCACCAAAGTCCAACTGCAATTCTCAACATCAGCAAGTAACACCTGTAACTTACTTGACGGGACCTACATAGGCTTTCCGTGGACAGACATTTTTTGAGGTAAATATGAATATTGATGAGTTGTAATGTATATGAACTTCACAGACGGTGTTTCCCGAGTGTAGCACTGTACGTTTTGCATAATAAAATTATTATAAACTTAAATTATGACTTGTTAATGCATGGTCCACGGAAAGCCTGTGGAGGCCCCGTCAAATAAGCTACGGGTGGGCATGCAGTGGTGATACTCACCAAAGTCCAACTCCAATTCCCAACATCAGCAAGTGACACCTGTAACTTTCTTGATGGGACCTACATAGGCTTTCCATGGATAGACCTTTTTTGAGGTAAATATGAATATTGATGAGTTGTAATGTATATGAACTCGTCAGACGGTGTTTCTCGAGTGTAGCACTGTACGTTTTGCATAATAAAATGATTATAAACTTAAATTATGACTTGTTAATGCATTGTCCACGGAAAGCCTGTGGAGGCATCGTCAAATAAGTTACGGGTGGGCAAGTGACAAGAGACAGCTGTAACTTATTTGAGGGGGCCTCCACAGGCTTTCCGTGGACAGTGCATTTTTATGCAAATTAAGCCATTTCACTGCCGGACGGCGTTTCCTGAGCACTGTATAGATGATATTACTCAATAAAATCATCGTATTTATGACATATGACCTGTTAATGCATTGTCCACGGAAAGCCTGTGGAGGCCTCGTCAAATAAGTAACAGCCGTCACTTCTCACTTGCCCACCCGTAACTTATTTGACGGGGCCTCCACAGGCTTTCCGTGGACAGTGCATTTTAATGCAAATCAAGCCATTTTACAAGCTCTAATGTGCATGAAACTGCTGGACGGTGTTTCCTGAGGACTGTACTGCCGGTATTACTCAATAAAATCATTGTATTTATGACATATGACCTATTAATGCTTTGTCCACGGAAAGCCTGTAGAGGCCCCGTCAAATAAGTTATGGGTGGTCAAGTGACAGCTGTAACTTATTTGACGGGGCCTCCAAAGGCTTTCCGTGGACAGTGCATTAACAAGTCATAATTTAAGTGGGACCTATATAGGCTTTCCGTGGACAGACCTTTTTTAAGGTAATTTTGAATACTGATGAGTTGTAATGTATATGAACTTGTCGGACGGTGTTTCCCGAGTGTAGCACTGTACGTTTTGCATAATAAAATGATTATAAACTTAAATTATGACTTGTTAATGCATTGTCCACGGATAGCCTGTGGAGGCCCCGTCAAATAAGTTACGGGTTGGGCAAGTGACAAGTGACGGCTGTAAATTATTTGATGGGGCCTCCACAGGCTTTCCGTGGAAAGTGCATTTTTATGCAAATTAAGCCATTTCACTGCTGGACGGCCTTTCCTGATCAGTGTATATGTGGTATTACTCAATAAAATTATAGTATTTATGACATATGACCTATGAATGAATTGTCCACGGAAAGCCTGTGGAGGCCCCGTCAAATAAGTTACGGGTGGGCAAGTGAGAAGTGACACCCGTAACTTATTTGACGGGGCCTCCACAGGCTTTCCGTGGACAGTGCATTTTAATGCAAATCAAGCCATTTTACAAGCTCTAATGTGCATGAAACTGCTGGACGGTGTTTCCTGAGGACTGTACTGCCGGTATTACTCAATAAAATCATTGTATTTATGACATATGACCTATTAATGCTTTGTCCACGGAAAGCCTGTAGAGGCCCCGTCAAATAAGTTATGGGTGGTCAAGTGACAGCTGTAACTTATTTGACGGGGAATGAATTGTCCACGGAAAGCCTGTGGAGGCCCCGTCAAATAAGTTACGGGTGGGCAAGTGAGAAGTGACGGCTGTTACTTATTTGACGGGGCCTCCACAGGCTTTCCGTGGACAGTGCATTTTTATGCAAATTAAGCCATTTCACTGCTGTACGGCGTTTCCTGAGCACTGTATAGATGGTATTTCTCAGTAAAATCATCGTATTTATGACATATGATCTGTTAATGCATTGTCCACGGAAAGCCTGTGGAGGTCTCGTCAAAGAAGTTACGGGTGGGCAAGTGACAAGTGACGGATGTAACTTATTTGACAGGGCCTCCACAGGCTTTCTGTGGACGGTGCATTTTTATGCAAATTAAGCCATTTCACTGCTGGACGGCATTTCCTGAGCACTGTATAGATGGTATTACTCAAATTCATCGTATTTATGACATATGACCTGTTAATGCATTGTCCACAAAAAGCCTGTGGAGGCCTCGTCAAATAAGTTACGGGTGGGCATGCAGTGTTGATACTCACCAAAGTCCAACTCCAATTCCCAACATCTGCAAGTGACACCTGTAAGTTACTTGATGGGACCTACATAGGCTTTCCGTGGACAGACCTTTTTTGAGGTAATTTTGAATGTTGATGAGTTGTAATGTATATGAACTTGTTAGACGATGTTTCCCGAGTGTAGCACTGTACGTTTTGCATAAAAAAATGATTATAAACCTAAATTATGACTTGTTAATGCATAGTCCACAGAAAGCCTGTGGAGGCCCCGTCAAATAAGTTACGGGTGGGCAAGTGAGAAGTGACGGCTGTTACTTATTTGACGGGGCCTCCACAGGCTTTCCGTGGACAGTGCATTTTTATGCAAATTAAGCCATTTCACTGCTGGACGGCGTTTCCTGAGCACTGTATAGATGGTATTACTCAATAAAATCATCGTATTTATGACATATGACTTGTTAATGCATTGTCCACGGAAAGCCTGTGGAGGCCTCGTCAAATAAGTTACGGGTGGGCATGCAGTGGTGATACTCACCAAAGTCCAACTCCAATTCCCAACATCAGCAAGTAACACCTGCAACTTACTTAATGGGACCTATATAGGCTTTCCGTGGATAGACCTTTTTTAAGGTAAATATGAATATTGATGAGTTGTAATGTATATGAACTTGTCAGACAGTGTTACCCGAGTGTAGCACTGTACGTTTTGCATAATAAAATGATTATAAACTTAAATTATGACTTGACCTATATAGGCTTTCCGTGGATAGACCTTTTTTAAGGTAAATATGAATATTGATGAGTTGTAATGTATATGAACTTGTCAGACAGTGTTACCCGAGTGTAGCACTGTACGTTTTGCATAATAAAATGATTATAAACTTAAATTATGACTTGTTAATGCATTGTCCACGGAAAGCCTTTGGAGGCCCCGTCAAATAAGTTACGGGTGGGCATGCAGTGGTGAAAGTCACCCAAATCCAACTCCAGTTTCCCGAGTGTAGCACTGTACGTTTTGCATAATAAAATGATTATAAACTTCCGCCCCCCTGTGGCCTTAAACCTGCAGATTGCAACAAAATGTGCAAAAAAGAGCGCAGATCCGTCGCCATTCCGCGAGGCCCCCGGGGGCCCCAGGCCCCAGCTCACGCCTCCGACGTGTCTTGCCGGGCCCCCCCTCGGCGCCCGGGCGGTCGTTGGGGGTGGGAAAAATCGTCTAGGGGGCGGAGCGCAGCGTCCACATACCGCCTGACACGAAGCGCCTAGCAAGCTGTGCACGGACCCCTCAGCCAAAGTGGTGGCCTAACGGGTGGCAGCAGAAAAACACTAGCTCTCCCCATCGGGGAATCAAACCCCGGTTTTCCGCGTGACAGGCGGAGATACTGTCCACTATACTAACGAGGAGTTGTGCATGTGTGATTTTGCCCCCAGCCAACGCCACTGCACCGACATCACTAAACAAAGCGTTTCTTTTTCTTACGCTGACCCAGCCCTTACACCATAAAATACCGGATGGACCCACCATCAGCTAAAGTCGCTTCACATTTGGAATGCTACACGTTACAGGGGTCAATATTTGGACTCTTTTATTTGTTTAATTGTTTTCTCAAACTTCTCAGATGGAGGCATGAGAAAGAGATTGCATTGCCTTCATTGGGCTTGTGGTTAATGGGCGACCGAAGGGACTTTGGTGCCTTTTACTCCTCCCGTTTGGAGTGAGGGGGTGACGAAATGCAAGTGGGCAGGTGTCGGCACCCTAGATTACCCTTGGCGAACGTAGTGGTTTTCCACAGGGAGCGCACAGGCCCAAGGGCGTGGAGACACAGCTCGAGTTTTTCTTCATTATCATATAAATCTTTAGCTTTTTACTAAAGATTTCCATAGAAGGGAACTTTTGCGAGTGACCTGTATTTTTCGAGGCTCTGCTCACAGCAGACCTACACCGGAATATCAAGAGCAGAGTGAATATGGCCGTCCGCCAACACGCAGTGGGAGAATGCGCAACTGGTCACCTTCTGTATTTGCAGCCTTTGCGGTTCCTGCGTCACCGCATTGCATTTATTTAGCCAGCACGGAAAGACAGCGCTTTCTTGTATGTGACGGGATCCAAACCCTGGACTTGCTCGCTTTAGTGCCGGGCCCAAACAAAGATCGCATCAGCTCCTCTAGCCCTATCAGCAACTCACATGCTTTGAGCGTTCTTACTGACCGCGCAAGCCGGCGTCATCCACCTGCGTTGGTGTTATAGTGGTGAGCATAGCTGCCTTCCAAGCAGTTGACCCGGGTTAGATTCCCGGCAAACGCATTTCGTTTGGTTTGGGCTGAAGTCAAAGCAGAACTCCTTCTGTAACCTCTGGCTGCACCAAAATCTTTTGGATGTGTCGTTCGGCAGCAGAAAAACACAAGCTCTCCCCCATCGGGGAATCCAACACCTTTCTTCCACGTGGCAGGCAGAGATACTGTCAAGTCAAGTTTATTTGTACAGCGCTTTTCACGATACAAATCATTGCAAAGCAACTTTACAGCAAATTAAGTTTCTACAATATTTAGTGGTAGCTTATCAGTGGTGACTGTCAGTTCATGTACATATGGCAGAAATGTATGGAAAAATCAATTTAAGATGTAATAAAACAGACGATGAACACTATTAACAGCAATTATTATATGATGCAATCAAACTTATAGCAAAATGCGGTAGTTCTGTATGTTGTTTCAGGGTTGGCATCATCTGAGGTCCTCTGAGGGGTTGGCATCATCTCTTCTCAGGTGTTCTGGATCCAGACTGAAGCTTGTGTAAATCCTAGTTACAGAGAAAAAAAAACCCAAAAAAACAGAGAAACAAATAGAGACATAATTAGCGTAGCTGCTGTTCCAACCAAGCAAAATTGATTTGTTTAACCCAAACTAAAGAATAATAATGTGCATTTGATCAGATATAACTGCAGTACAAGATTATGAGATGCATTATTTGAATGCTTGGCCAAAGAGATGTGTCTTTAATCTAGATTTAAACAGAGAGAGTGTGTCTGAACCCCGAACTGTCTGCGTTGGTGGTATAGTGGTGAGCATAGCTGCCTTCCAAGCAGTTGACCCGGGTTAGATTCCCGGCAAACGCATTTCGTTTGGTTTGGGCTGAAGTCAAAGCAGAACTCCTTCTGTAACCTCTGGCTGCACCAAAATCTTTTGGATGTGTCGTTCGGCAGCAGAAAAACACAAGCTCTCCCCCATCGGGGAATCCAACACCTTTCTTCCACGTGGCAGGCAGAGATACTGTCAAGTCAAGTTTATTTGTACAGCGCTTTTCACGATACAAATCATTGCAAAGCAACTTTACAGCAAATTAAGTTTCTACAATATATTTAGTGGTAGCTTATCAGTGGTGACTGTCAGTCAATGTACATATGGCAGAAATGTACGGAAAAATCAATTAAAGACGTAATTTTAATTGTTGTTTTATTTATTAAGAAATAAAATCATTTAAATCAGAATAGAAGTGTGTTAATTAATTGTGTTAATGCAACAGACCATTAACACTAATCAGCTCTTTGTGTACAGCAGAGCAGGATGAAGGTGAAAGTGATATTCCCAGGCAAGATCAAAGTGTGCTTCAGGAAAGGACCAACTGGATATCTGAGACAAGATCCCTCAGATGAAGCCAAGAGGATCAAAGACAACCCCAATCTCCAGGACAAATCAGCCCCTCAAAGGGAAGACAAGGTCAAGGAGAATGCCCGCTCTGTTGTCTTCATGAGAGGAGGAGATGTGTCAGACAGACAGGAGGTGCTGGGAGAGTATGTGCTTCAGTTTGGAAAGTACAAAGGCAAGTCATTCCGGTGGCTGCTAGAGAATGATGTAGGCTATACCATGTTCTTGACTAAGAAGGTTGAGGAGGAGGAGAGAGCCGGACAGTTTAAACCAGAGGGTCCCAAGAAGGACAGCCTACTTTCATTTCTTGAGTACAGTAGAAGCTTCCAGGAAATCGAGGACCTCATAAAGTATGTAGCTGGAAGATCAGTGGCACCACCTGTAAGAAATGAAGATGACAACTTGGTTGGCTTTGGGATTAATGCAGACTAGACTTGGAGGGATATTTGGGAGAGCAGAGCAGATGGATATGCTGCATTCATCCTCCAGAAAAAGTGTGTTCCAGGCAGCAAAATGTATCGGCTGCATCAGTACCTCACTCAGAAAAAGAGCCAGCTTCAGAGTGTTTCAGAGGAACTTGCTTCCGCTGGCCTTGCAGCATCTGCCTCTCATCCTCCAGGTTTGTTGACAGTACAGTTGAGTATATATTAGGTCAAACTGAAATATGTAAATGTAGGATGACATATTATTCGCATCTTTGCTTTTATGCTTTGTTTCACAGAAATGGAGGATGATGAAGAATTGGAGAGATTGATGCTTTTTATATCCCCATCCAAACTCCAAGGCCAACTGAGTAAGAAAACTTCACACAGACATAGGTGCATGTGTGCTCACACGCGCGCACACACACACACAGACACACACACTATTTATTGTGGTTGCTATATCCATCTTTTTCTACAAGTACACTCATATGAATGTGAACTCAGATTATTGCTGTAAAAGAGCTTAATGCTCAGTCAATTTTCCCTCCTTTCATACCAATCTTTGGTTTGTTCTTTTTTCATAGAAGTGGAGGAGGGTGAAGAATTGGGGAGGAAGATGCTACCCACATATTCATCTAAAATTCCAGGCCAACTGATTGAGAACCATATACATGCACATACATGCTCAAACTCACATACACTTCAGTCCTCTATATGCAACATCGGGTCCCTAATGACGAATAATTGAAAATATGGGATACCCAGAATAATCAAATATCTAAATTAATACATAACCAATAGTTAGGATTAATTCCTAATTAGAAACAATCTAAATGTAATAACCATTTGAAATTGGAGTCAGATTAAGTGCGCAGCTAAAGTAAAATTGAAGCTAAATTCAAAAAATGAAGTGAACTTCACAAGGGTGCTGAAAAGACATACACGCATTATACCTTCGCCCAGGCCGTTGGATTCCGTCTTTGGGCCGACGGGTTGTGATCCTTACATTACATTTTTATTCAGCGTTAAGATGGCCAAAGGTCCTACTCTGACTGCACATTGGGGATGATTCTGACATCAATCAAGATTATCCATTCAACACACTGACAGATCACTGTTTGTTTATTAGGCGTGATCAGGCCTGTTCTAACGCCCGTAAATTGTTATATTAACAGTAAAGGCTTTTATATGTCATTCTGTCTGTTTATGTTATAAATGCTTGAAAGTAAAATTATCGTCACTATGCTTTCAGGTTCAGAAGTTGTCGGAGTCCCAGTGGTCAAAGGTCTTATTCCTACTGCATACTAGGGATGATTCTGTAAGGGAAATAGGTCAGTTTAGCTCAAAGGGAATCATTAAAGATTTTAAAGGGAATTTGGACAGAGCCACACAACATCAACTCTTCAATGGATATTAATATCCAAAATATAGTGAAAACACTATTAATTAGCACAGTAACAAGATCGGCAGTTTAAGACTAACTTGTAAGCACGAAACACAAGATACTTCTCTTTTCAATATAAATAAGGCTTTATTGGATAAATCTAAGACATGTAAACTAATTTAACACATGAACACATGCATTCACACATTCACACAAGTTGCAGAAAGCGAGAAAGTAAGGAAAGAATGAGTTTAAGGAAATGAAAATGTGAAATCCCAAGTTTACAGCAATATGTGAAAATGCATAGACATGAACAACCATCAATCACTTAATTAACCCTCGCATTGAGTTCCTCAATGAGGTTAAAATTATATTAAGTGCACCAGTTCAGCTAGAATCTGGAGGTACTTGCTTGCCTGTGAAAGGGGTTCCCTTCCTTGTCTGGTTGCCGAAAGGGGTTTCCCGAGGTTGCTGATTGGCTGGAAGTTCAGTCTTGGGAAGCCAGTGGTTGGGCGTTGGCTGACGACGCGGAATTGTGGTCTGGGTGAAGTTTTAGACGGCACTTGAGGCACGACGTTAGGCAAAACTTAACTCAGAAGAACACGAAACTCTCAACGGAAAATAAAAGAAACTAAAGTAAAGAAATAGAAGTAAAGTTTGACGAGACTAGGTGGCGTTTCTCCTCATGGTTTTGGAGGAGCTGGCGTGTAAGCCAGAGCATGCTCAAAGAGCGCAAAAAGCGATGACTGAAAAGCACGGCTAGAAGCCATGACCAAAAAAACTAAAGAGCTAAAAAGGCGATGACTAAAAAGCATAGCTCAAAGCTATGACTAAAAAAACCGCATGGCTAAAAGTGATGACTTGAAAGCACATAGCTCAAAGCTATGACTAAAAAGAGAGAAGGGGGGAAAAAAGGGTAAAGCTAAAAAAGGGACTGATTTGATGGTGTCCTGAGTATTTAAACTGGGCTCTTGGACACATCCCAAATGGTGCTTTGACCATTTAGATATCGTCTTTGCTCAGGGTGCTGGATAGTCTGATGTGTGTGTTACATACATAATATGGAGTTATGCATAGAAATGATTAATTGCTCACAAGTCCTTTTAGTGTCATTTAGATGCATATTTACACGGAAAGGCAGTCTCTGTGCCATTCTCTGAACATAAGGACATGTTCTGCGAAGACCAGAGGTTAAGAGGTCTCTCATAAGGAATTTCAGTCTGTTCTTTGTCGTGGAGGTGGGGGAAGTCAATCCAAAGAGCTCGTGATCGTCACTGGTTTACATGTGATGGTCATGCTGTGCATCTCGGACCATTTAATCTTGATTATTTGCCCCAAAATTGACAATCTCCTTGGAATTGTCAATAAGTGTTCTTTTGTTTAAATGCTGTGAGCTACTCAAAGCTGCTAGTTGGTTCAGGCTTGTGGCACCAGGATCTGATTTACGAACATCCTGTGTCTTGGGCCTCTGTGGAATTCGGCTCCTCGTGTTTCAACTGTTCTTTATCAAATCTTAAATTGTATGATTCGGTCTGATACCCTACAATTCTGACATCAGGATTATCTGTTCTACATTGATTTGTTGCTGTTTGTTGGTTAGGCCACGTTCAGGCCTGTTCTAATTCTTGTGTTCAATTGTTCTACTAACATTGAAGGCATTTATATCTCATCATTGACGGTAAGTACAGAGTTCTTGTTTTGCATGTTTTTTCCATGCTATACTTTAAAGGTTTGGTATGTACATGATTTACAGAGTAAAAGATGTAAATCTCCAAAATGCAGAAGTACAGCAAAATAACAAATATGTATTAATTTGGACTAGAATGATGCATCCCATTTGATACATGAAGCTGTAGATTACTCATGTAATGTAGACACATTAGCATACCACACCCCTAATATTATAAAGAGTCTTGACATGTGTTCTATGGGTTTGCATGCATTTACATTACTATTTATGAACATATTTACTAAGGGACAGTACTACAGGGTATTAGAATGAGATTATCTTTTTCGGTGTTAGGGAGGTGTAAACCACTAGCAACACTCTCAAAACCAGACCGGCCTGATGAATATAGTGCTACTGCATCTCCACGGCCAGGTTGGTATATGGATGTGTACACATGCCGACTCTACTGTAAGAATATACCTGTTCCTGATCAGTGTTATTGTTTTTCACCAATGCCATTCACTCCAGTGAGGGTTCCTTTGCCAGTACCTCCAGAGTTGCTTGAATTATCTAGAAGCAAGACCACATCGCCTTTGAGACCAGTGCAGGAAACTGTGTTCTGTCATTGTAAGGGCTTAATGTAACATCATTTTACTTAATCAAATTTAAAACAGATTTAACATATTTAACAAATGTAATGCAAATCTATGACTAATGTCACCCATGTCATCCTGCAGCCCTCCTCCCAGTGACCTCTGCACAGTCTACAGCCTCTACTCCTCCCTCAGGACCCCCCGCAGTTGCTGGCCAGTCTTTCTCTGGATTCCCTGCAGCCACTACTGGGTACCCCTCAACTCAGTTGGAGGAGAAGCATGCTGTTCCACCAATGCCAAGCTATGAGCAGGATGTGATAAGATGGCACTGCTCTCAACAGCAGAGAATCTGGATGAAAACAGAAATGGAAGCCTTGGGACTGTGGCCAGGTTCTAGACCGGTGAGACATCCAATGAACATGATCTCCTTGTGGCGTTACCCACCTCAGCCTGAGCTTATTGATGCTGTCTATGAGCTGCCATCACCGAAATACTTTCAACTTCATCCATTCTTCATTTGGAAACCAGAGCACACCATTATGGAAAGAGTCCGCAACAATTACACTCTGCCATGTCTGTACGGCTGTCTGAATCCCCACGTTGTCTCATCAGGAGTTGGACGACCCCGTGTCATTATTGGTACAAGCAGCCAGTACTACATACTGGCCTCCCGGCTCAGCTGTAAAGGCTGTAAAAAGTACTGGTTTGCAGACAAACCCCAATGGATGGACATGCTGCCGAGTCGGTTCTGCAACATTTTGCCAGCTTTTCTGACACACAAGAAGGCCATATGTAAGACTGTGATGGATGAGTTGCGGCGCACAGCAAAGTCTCCCAATGATATGGCCAATCAGTTGAATGAAGCTCTCCACCTCAAGTATGAGCGTGCACACCTGGCTTACCTGTCCACTGTTAAGAATGTGCTGGATGGAGACGGTGGACTTTATGGTCAGCAGACCATCACAGAGGCACTAAGAGCAACAAATACTACTGCTCCATTTGGTGAGTATTGTGATGTGGTTGGCTGGTGCGGAGTAACAGTCTCACCCCACTATTTGGTTGACTGCCTCATTCAGGAGTACCATAGGCAGGAGAGCATACTCAATCTGCTCCTCCAAGGTACGTTTGGATAGGCATTAAGGGCTGACCATACCCGCAAGGTGGCCCGGAAGGTTGTGCTTGCATCAGGTACTATGTCGTCCTACGCTGTGATGAATGAAAACTGGATGATATTGTCCTGGGTGATGCTGCAGTCTGAAAGTGATAAATTGCTGCAGCCAATGTATGAGGGGCTATCTCGTCGTTACATTTTTGCATGTCTGCCAAAAGCCAACTACCAGTGGGTTGACAGGTAAGAACCAGCCGTCACATTTTCCTTCCCACCTATATTATATTTGTAAAGTAAACAAAATATAGTATAGCAAATACATGTATGCTATGTATTTGAATGTTTAATATTTTAAATATACTTCTCTTCGTGTGTGGAACATAGATTGCTGTGCTGCCTTCAGGATCCCAAACCCTAAGCCCCAGGAGCACCTCCTCTGGGATTCTTGGAAGACCACTGATGCTATAGTGGCTGCGGCAACCTCTGGGCATCTCATCAACACCTGTGCCTCCCGCAAAGAATATAACAGTGACATCAACATCAAACTGGACTTGTTCCACTGCATGCGGCGGTTCTCCAGAGAGTGTGTGTCAGAGCACCATCCACTGCACAGTGCTTTCTGCAAGTTTCTGTCAGCAGCTTTTAGTGTTGTGGACCAGACGGACCTACAGAGACTGAAGCAGGCTTATGTTTTCTGTGGGATAGTGCCTGCAAATCTATCAAAGCAGCACATCAGGGAGCACTGCCGCACCAGGGTCCCACACCCCAAAGAGCTGCTGGAGAGAGTGGAGAGCGTTCTCCAAAGATTCTTTTTAGAATGTGATCCTGATGGTGTGCCACTGTTCAAACCATCGATGTTGAAGGTGTGGAGGATTCAGCGAGTCCACATCCTCAGAGGCTGCCTGAGTGACCCAGAGGTTACAGAGGGGATCCTCTATAGGCATGGTGGAACGGTCCAGCTGAACCATGTGAAGGGGGAGGCGGCTGCTGTACCCGTGTGGATCCCTGTGAGAGGCACCTCTCAGCAGGAGGGGTTCCATTTCCATCAGGCGAGATGGGTCACAGGCACTCAGGTATCCACAGAACTTTTCCAGGCGCAGGGCATGACTGGAGTGGCTCGCTGGAATTTCTAGCGCCTTGTGGACCGGAAGCAGCCTGGAGTGAAGCTGCCTGCAGTTTTTGATCCTGTGCCGATTATGGAACTGAACAAGCTCTCAGACGTGGTGACAGGCCAGGCCAAGTACCCTGCCTTACTTGTCTCACAGACAGACACCAAAGAAAGGTTTGGACTGCAGTATGTGGAGCCTGGTTGTCGTCCTGTCCCCTTGGACTGGAACAAGCACAAGTCCCAGAAGGTACCTGTTGCAGGGGAAGGAGAGCATCAGTCCTCAGAGCCGTCTGCTCTCAGTGAGAGATTCCCACCTGATGACCCACCTGAGGAGGTGAGGGAGGAACACTTTGCTCAGGTAAACTTGAGTGTTGTACTAACACTTTGCTCAGGTAAACTTGACTGTTGTACTTACAAATATTCTCACTCACTAAAACACAAAATGTACACTACCGGTCGATTTAAAAAAAAAAGGTTTTAAAAGAAGTCTCTTCTGCTCACCAAGGCTTCATTTATTTACAGCAAAAACAGTTATTTTAAATTGTAAAAATATTATATTTATATATTTATATTTTTGCTGTATTTTGGATCAAATAAAAGAAGCCTTGGTGAGCAGAAGAGACTTCTTTTAAAAACATTAAAAAATCTTACCATCCAAAAACTTTTGACCGGTAGTGTAACTATGTAATCACTGATTGTAACCCAAATGAATTACCCTATGCTCCAGGATGATATCTTTGGTGTGGCCTCTCTTGGCTCACAAACAATGATCCATCAAGAAACATTTCTGATTATTATCAATGTTGAAAAAGAGTTTTTACAATTTTTTTTCAGTACAATTATTTGATGAATATAAAGTTCAAAAGACCAGCATTTATCTGAAATAGAAAGCTTTTGTAACATTATCACTACCGTTCAAAAGTTTGGGGTCAGTAAGAATTTATTTATTTTTTATTTTTTATTTTTTTGGAAAGAAATTAATACTTTTATTCAGCAAGGATTCATTAAAGGAATCAAAAGTGACAGTATAGACATTTATAATGTTGCAAAAGCTTTATATTTCAGAGAAATGCTGTTTTTTAACTCCGGCTTGCGCAGTCAGTAGGAACGCTCGAAGCACATGAGACGCTGATAGGGCTAGAGGAGCTGATGCGATCTTTGTTTGGGCCCGGCACTAAAGAGAGCAAATCCAGGGTTTGGATCCTGTCATGTACAAAAAAGCGCTGTCTTTCCGTGCTGGCTAAATAAATACGACGCAGTGACGCAGGAACCGCAAAGGCTGCAAACACAGAAGGTGACCAGTTGCGCATCCTCCCACTGCGTGTTGGCACACGGCCAAATTCACTCTGTTCTTGACATTCCAGTGTAGTTCTGCTGTGATCAGAGCCTCCAAAAATACAGGTAACTCGCAAAAAGTTCCCATCCACAGAACTCTTTAGTAAAAGGAGAAAGATTTATGCGATAATGAAGACAAACTCGAGCTGTGTCTCCACACCCTTGGGCCTGTGCGCTCCCTGTGGTAAACCACTACGCTCGCCAAGGGTAATCTAGGGTGCTGACGAGAAGTTGGAGAAAACAATGAAAAAAATTAAAGAATCCAAATAATGAGCCCTGTAACGTGTAGCTTTCCAAATGTGAAGCGACTTTAGCTGATGATGGGTCCATCCGGTATTTTATGGTGTAAGGGCTGGGTCAGCGTACGAAAAAGCCACGCTTTGTTTAGTGATGTTATAATAGGCACAAGCCTGTTATAGGACTTGTTATCTTCCTCACCACTGGGGGCAGTAGAGGGCAACATGTTTTTTGTATAAGTCAAGTCATATGGTAGAAGGAGAGGATGTGGCATGCAAAAACTAAAGCATGGCCTTGCCATATGCTTCTGGAGTCCTTGTTGGGAAACCTGTGTTTTAATGCTCAATTGAAAGTAAGTGATGTTATATTGAGTATGAAACGTGTCTAACTTATTTTCTCTTTTGGTTTTGGAAGTGTTTGAATTATAATAGTTGGACTGTTTGTTTATTATGGCTTCTTTGATTTTTGTAGAAGGACTTTTTGTGTGTTACCTGGATGATTATGGTCTCTGACCATACATAGTCTTCTCTTCAATTCATCAGGCAAATATCACTTTTGTACAGCTGTTCCATGACCTTTGAGGCTTGAGTCCAGCATGAAAAGGGATTAAGATATCAAATTGGCTGGAGGATTTGGATGGAGGATACACTGGACATTGTGAGAACTTGGAATTCAGATAAGACTTTATTCACTCCATTGCAGCTAATTCATCATTCATGGACATTCATGATCTGTCTTCAATTCTATTTACATTTTGGTTCTCTTTGTGTGTTTTGATTTGATGAGAATAATGTTGCTATGCTTACTTGATTTTTTACTAAATATAAATATGATATTTTGCATTCAATGAGAGGTTCTGATTTGTTTTACGCTTTGTTAAATGGATTATGTTATTGCAGTAGGTTACCTTTTGCAAATAAGTTGTATGACTAGTTTTGGGTTTAGTTAAATCAGAAACGGTTATATAAATGGCGCGCGAACAGGGACCCTATTGCATTTAGTGTTTATTGTTTGTTTAACCTTATAGAAAATGGCAACTCAGAATCAGCATATTGAGACAGAGGGTGAGTGCGAACCTGATCCCAATCTTGACTTTACCACTGAACCATTTGTCACGAGGAGGGAACCTATTAGAGAGCTCGTCAGTACGTTCAGTGAACTGTATATCGACTCTGAAGATGAAGAGGAAATAGTTGTTGAGTTTGTTGATAACCTTTCTTTTCCACCACCTCCACCACTCGAAATGGAAGAAAGCCCAGAGTTCAACTCTTTATCTTCTGTTATGGACAGTTTGGAACAGCTAGAGCAGAGACTCACAAATATGGAAAAAGGACTGGAAGAATGTAATAAAA